GCTAATGAGGAACTGTGATCCCCTGTAGAGGGAGAGGCGTTCTGATTTTGGGTATTCTCAGCCTTTTTAGGCTGGTTTCTTCCCTTTGTTATAGATTTATCCATCGGTGGTCTTTATAATTACCGTCTTTATAGTTGGGTTTCTGAGTGGACGTCCAACGTGTTGATTCCTGGTGCTAAAATCTGAGCAACCCACTGCGCCAGCCAAAACAGCGGTGTTAAGATTGATGTTGCTTTTCTGACTCTGCACCAAGAACCGCTGCACCAAGGCAGCGGCAAAACTGCCTCACCGGCCACAAGAGTCACGCTGGCGACCAATGGGTCTCCTCCACTGGGAATCTCCTGGTGCGTGAGCAACAAAAATTCATCTGAAAGTGTGGCGTCCTCTCGTTCTCTGCGCTTTCACTGGGAGCTACAATCCCGAGCTGCTAGTGATCAGCCATCTTGGATCTCTCCTTTTTTCTAGTTTTAAACATTGTTTCATACTTACCTTAAATGCTAAGTTGTTGAAAAAATTATTTTTCTATTTTAAACCTTGTTTCATACTCGGCTGATATTAGAGAAAAGTAAAACATCTGTTGCGTGGCTTTGATAAGAACTGATTAGTGCTACACCTAATTTTACATATACACACATAAAAATCTTCCTCAAAAATTGGTACATTAAGTTTGTGTGTGTGCACATGAATAGGTTTATATCTAAGCCTATTTTAGATGCTTTCTAAGGGCTAATTATTTATATGCATCCTGGAGACAATCTTTTTAAAGAAATCTATTGGAAAAAAATGATTTACATGTTTTAATAATCCAAATTTTTGATTATTGGATTTTTGTAAAGAAAGGTATACCAAAAAAACATTTTTAATATTATAAATTATGATTAAAATAGTTTAAACTTTTTTAATCCCTAAGATTTAAAAAACAGTTCCATTCCAACAAAAACATTTCTTCATATAAACCTATGTCCTTGCAATGCCCACAGCCTTTCAGTAACCTACGTTATTCAGAAATTTTTAGTTAGAAAGACACCAGGACAATAAATGACTGTTTTATATCTTCAGCTTCATTTTAGCCTTCCTATTTTCACACCCTAGAGGTTCCAGATTTTTATCCACAAAGTGATTATGGCCTAGGACTGAATCAGATTTGTAACAAATATCCACTGGGATCCTTCCACCTATCATCAACGGGCACAGCCAATATATGTCTTCTAGCTCACTGAATCCTTTCACCTTACCTTAGGGACTTTCCACAATGCTATATGGGTAGAAGCTTTCTTTTACAAATAACAAAAATTAATGAAAAATGATTTCAGAATAGAAAAATGGAAACCCAAGTAATTATATGCTGTCTAAAGTCTACTCTAAATCCACCCACCTTAGTGTCTAAACATTTTAATGTGTACAGAAAGGGATATTCTTTAAGGTTGTAAATCTCATTATCTCCAACTTTATCTGATTGCTGACATGCACCATTTATATTAATACTCCAATATATCCAGCCACATGATAGTGTAAAACTTCTAATAGTGATCTACAATAGTCTAGAAACTATTATTTTTTTTTTGTTTTCCAGAAAAAAATCAAGCATAAAGCTAACAAAATGAAACTTCTAATAAGTATACTTTCCTCTAAATATAACATCAAAATGAAACTCTAACAGCAGTCATGCAATCATTTATAAATAAAATACGGACTCCTATTCCTTTTTCCTAAAAGGTAATTTGGCATGTCATTCTGTCTTTTTTAGCTATTGGTCTCAAAATGTACTTCTTCTCCAAAAAATATAAAACATAAGAAGCATTTCCAAAGAGCGAAAAGAAAAATTACAAGTATGATATTTTTATGCTATGAGCTATGCAAAAATCTGTCACCATCTATGTTACAATTCTAGTCATCAATAAGGTACTTTTTTCCAATGTACCACTCAAAAATCAATTATATCAACTCTTTTGTATAGAGAAGCAGCACACCTTTCAGACAACTAGTATTAATGAGTAGACATGACTATAGAATCTCTATCTGTTTCTCTGACAAAGCTGTGGCTACTCTAGTTTCTCATTGAAATTCCATTAATCTGGTGTACCAGGGTCCAATGTGAAAATCAAAACTCCATCTAACCCTTTATCAGCTCACAATAACCTACAAGTGAACTCTGCCTGTTAGCATGCAGCAAGTTATGATTTTGCTATCAATCAGGCAGTTGGTCAATAAAAAAAAAAAAAGAAAGAAAAAAAAAAGGCAGGCTGAAAACAACCTACCTGGCAGGGTTTGGAGACTTTGTTTTTGTTTTGTTTTCATCCCCATTCAATTTCTATGTGGTGCCTGGACCTTGTGAGATTATGCATTATTCTCCTTGCTGTGATTTAATTGCTACCAGCAATCAAGTCGAAGCATCACTGAAGTGTGCTTGAATTTCATTAAAAGATATAACTTATGCTACTTTCCTACAGTACCTAATAAACCATAAAGAAACCAAAACACATATGGCTTGAGGGAATAACTGGAAAATTAGGTGGCCATTTGGGAACTGAGTGAACTTTTGAACCAGAGGAACAGAGAAAAAGAAATATTAAAGCAAAAGACAGACTTAGAATGCACATACAGATGTGCAGGTTTGCCCTTTTCAGTACCTTGAAAATTACATTAGCATTATGAAAAATACATATCATGTTTAGAGTTTATAATCCCTCAAAATTCAGATACTTTGTTAGTGCCTACCATAAGCTAAAAGTCAAAAGGACAAAACAACAATCTGATTTGATAAAAGGCCTCTTGGTGACCTGTGCTAATTTGGTTATGCTTATTGTTAAATGCATTATCTTTTTTATAATTAATATATTATTAGACTCAGGTCACATAATGAAGGAAATTCATTTATCAAAGGAAAGGGAACATACATAAAATTGAAAGGAGAAAAAAAGTTGAAGGGAGAAAAACTGATACACTGAGATATTTTAGTGCCATGGGAAGGCATAGAAAAAGGAAAAAAAAAAGATATTTTAGAGTGAATATTAAATGTCCATGTGGTAGTTTGAAATTTAATTTTAATAATGATATTCTTAGAAGAAAATGTGAAAGTATCAAAAATAGTATTATTTATATATCAAAAATGGTATTATTTACATATCAAAAATGAGTAATACTACAGGTTAAAGCTTTAATCTGCTCAATAATTGCTTAAACACTAATGAATAGGCACTAATATTTAACAAAAAACTTGATATTATATATAAATGTTAAATAATACTTTAAATCAAAAAAATAACCTTTCAACAGCAAATATTTTAGTGTATTTCCTGAATATTTGGTTATAATAATGTATGATAAATTATTTACTCTTAAAAAGAAAACACAATCATGTAAATGCACTATAATTTAATAACAATTTACTTTTTCTAACAAGCTACTAGAGGATTTCTGGCTCTCATAGATATTTGAATTGTTGACGTTCTTTTTAGGTTGCAAATTTTTCAAGAATACACATAGTACTCCCCTGTATACTAAAATATTTATGCTATTTTAAGAAACTATGTATATATATTCTATGAATATATTCTGTGTGTCTGTATTCTCTTAGTATAAATATTCTGTCTGTATGTGTATATAAACACACACACATTCATATATACCAACATTTTACAGAAAAATAAAGCAATTGTAATGTGTCTGAAAAACAGTATGACTTAAATAATAATTCATTGTTTTGCCTGAAAATATTATTTCTTCAATTATAAAACATGTTCTAGTAGAAATACTTCTGAAGACAAGGTTGGAAAGGATAATTCTCTGTTTTGGTGTAGAGAAAAGAAATGTGTATCTCTTTAAAAGATAGAAAGTGAATATAAGAGCAAAAAAAAAAAAAACCCCTCCCTTTAAAAATAGAAATTAAATGTTTGCCAAAGCATAAAATTCAACATAAAATAGATACAACTATTATTGCTACACTTTGTACAAAGTTCTGGATATAAAAAAAGATTGTTTTGTACTGAATCAGTGGTTAGAATGTTTATCACTTATGCATGTACTTGACTTATCCCTGTTCTGCAATAGACATAATTTTATATCTCATAAAAGCAATTTATGTTTCCAAAGGGAATAATCTGGATAACATAAAATGTGGTGTAGTCTGTTGCAGGAAGCATATTTTCATTCAGCAATTGTATTTAGAGATGTAACTGCACAGCTTGATCATCACATAGTGTCAGAAGGTATTATTCATTTCTATGTCTATGTGAAACTTTGAGTGCTACAAATTAATATGCATAACTAATTTATTGATACACACTCTTAATTTATAACTACATATTACCCTTATAAGGTTTCTATAATGCAGATGTACTCAATGGCTATAACGGAGAAAGCACATACTACACTAAAAAGCAAGTTTCATAACTTTGGCAATATTCAATAGCTTTTAGAAATTACTAAGAGATAATTTTATTACTAATTCAGTTAACGCTAACATTACAATATTACTACATAATATGAGGCACTTTTAAGTGACAATCATAAAAATGAAAATGCGTATTAAAAGAAACGTTTGATAAAAATCTGTCTCAATGTCAAAAGGCAATGTCGGAAAATTAACTTAATATTTTATGAACTCATTTTGTATAAAGTTTTCAGAAAAAAATAGATCAAAAATCTTTTTTATTATTTATAAAATAAATAATACAACAAGCCTTTAAGTAGTACAATAAAATTAAGCAAGAATCTGATAATATTAAATTAACTAACAAACTGTTACTAATAATATTCATATGATGATACAGGCACTCTCTCAAAAATTTTAGTAAAGAAAATTTCCAAGAAAAAGAACCAATTACAGACTTAGGAAAACCTCACTAGAACCACTAGAGAGAGCTCTTCTGTTCCTTAAAAGGTTTTGGTAAAGTTAAGTTAACCGAAGCCTCTATGTTCATCTGCTTACTCATAAAACTACCACCTATATACATAGCATTGTTTTGTGTATCAGAGTTACACAGGAAAATGTCACATACCATCAGAGGGGGCTTCATCATCTTTATCATATCGTTCTGAAGCTAATGAAATAGTGTCTGGAGGCCCAGCAAAAGGGTCATCATATTCGTCCCCATCTTCTGTATCACCTGAAAAAAAAATCAGATAAATGCCATTTATACTTTTGCCATTTAAAGCAATGTTACTTAATGTTACTTTGTCAAAAGAGGTAAATTTTACTACTAAATTCAGTCATTGTAGTGGAAAAACAAAGAAAACTTTTAAAACTAGGTAAAAACAGGTCTTATTTTAGTTTATAGCCATTGTAATTTATAGTAAGAGTTTTTGAAGGTCATTCTATGATTGCTTATTTATGATACAAAAGGATACAGTCCAAAATTATAATGACCTCTACAAAGAAGAATCCAAAAAGTAGAAGCAGGGTAAAACAGAGTGTATATCCAAACAAACAAACAAAACCAAAATAATGACAACAACAGCAAAAGCCCAGGAAGCACAACAGAAAACATAATTCAGGTAACTCCATTTACCTACTCAATAATTTGAAAAATTATGAGAAACTAATAATTTGAAGCTATATGAATATTTTGTATTTTCATTAAAAATCACAGGATTGCATTAGAGAGCACAAATCTTTTATAGAAAAAACTGCTTTAAAATTAACATAATCTTTTAAAATCCAAGCAAGGGTAATTTACAAACTAGACACTTTCAGTTTCAATTGTATGTTATTATTTTTTAATGTTCTAGCCAGTTTCCTACTTGATTTTCAAATCTTAGGTTGGTTGATTGATTTTTTGATTGATTCTTTATTTTAGGCTAATTAATCTTCACAAGACCTTGTGGTTTCAATTTTTTCCATACAATCATTTAAAATATATTTTTTTAAAAACTCAAATATTTGCTAGCCCAGTTAGACACAGCATTCATTTCTCACCCAGATTTCACAACAAAGAAAAATGTATGCTTAATTCTATATTAAGTATTTGACTGCTGAATTCTACCTGACAGAAAAACAGTCACCTCAAGGATTACTCAAAAAGCAAAAGGAAAATCCCCAAAGGAACCACAGAGTGCCTATAGTATTACTTATGAACCAGAGTTCCTGGCAGATCCAGATTAAAGCTACCTGTCTCTCCAAAAAGGTATTTGTGTCCTCTGACACTCATTTGATGGGTGTCACCCTATTTGTTACCACATTTTTGGTAGAGAAAATAGCCTCTTTCAAGACAGAACTGTCAAAATAACTTTCAAAAATACATATTCCTCTCAATTTCTTTATAATTTTTCCATTTCATGAGCAATTGTCATCACAGAGACATCTCTCATTAAGACAATAAGGGCAGAACATACAGATGGCTATATTGTCATCCTTAGGGATTCTACTACTAGGTACACTAAATATGGTGATGTTTCTCCCCCAGTTAAAATTCTAAGGAACACACAAGTATTACTCATTCTTTGGAACTTAATTTCTCTTTCTTTTGAGATGTTTAAAGTCCTTTTCAGAACACTCAATGATCCCCTACAATATTTCTTATGCAAAAAAGAGTGCTAGGCTGGGGGCAGTGCTCATGTCTGTAATCTCAGCTACTCAGGATGCTTGAGGCCGGAGGATCGCTTGTGGCCAGGAATTAGACACTGGCTGGGCAACGCAGCAAGACCACACCACACCACTAAATAAAAATAACAACAATTAGCCAGGCGTGGTGGCCTGCATCTGTATTCACACCTGTGGGAGGCTGAAGTAAGAGGACTGCTTGAGCCTAGGAGTTTGAGGTTGAGATGAGCTATAACTGCACCACTGTGTTCCAGCCTGGGCAACAGACCAAGACTCCACCTCTAAAAAAAAACTCTTTTTAACAAAAGAAGAGTGATCCGATTTCAAACATAAGGTAGGAAAGAACTTCATAAAGTGCTAGCAAAAATATTTTGAACATGTTATGACAGTTCACTGAATATATACCAGTAGGAATCAAGAAATTCTCAGTTACTTGTAGTCGTTACAGTATCTTTACATTCCTAATAAAGTTAAGAATGTTTGTGGTATGAATTTTCTAAGAATATTTCATATCTCACACAAAAAAGATCTTGCCGCAGAAAAAGAGTATTAGGATACTTCAAAAACATGACAACTTAGCATGTGGCATATTTTGCTATTATGACTATTTAAAAAGAATAGTAAAGCCAAAGAATATAAAGACTTTGAAAAAAATTCAGATGTTCAGTCTTAAATATATGAAATTCTATGTGTAAGTAAACAGAAAAAAATTAAGTTAGCTTTTAAAATTAGTTTATTATCTTTTTATATTATGTGTATGTATATATGCATTTATATACACATACATACACCCAAATGCAAACTGCATTCTTAAGAAAATATGTATAATATATACATACATAGCAAAAGTTCACTACTAAAGCTATAAATGCGATAATATTTAATATGAGTTGAGTATTTATTCTACACAAATCGATCACTAACATGTTAAAGACCTCTGTGGGTTTAATTTTTATTAAAAAAAAAAATTAGGCCGAGTGTGGTGGCTCACTCCTATAATCCCAGCACTGTGGGAGGCTGAGGCAGGTCGATCACCTGAGCTCAGGAGTTCGAGACCAGCCTGGCCAACATGGCAAAACCTCATCTCTACTAAATACACAAAATTAGCCAGACATGATGGCAGGCTCCTGTAATCCCAGCTACTTGGGAGGCTGAGGCAGGTAGAATTGCTTGAACCCGGGAGGCAGAGGTTGCAGTGAGCTGAGATTGTGCCAGTGCACTCTAGCCTGGGCAACAGAGTAAGGCTTTGTCTCAGAAAATAAAAATAAAATACTTCTGGGTTATATGTAGAATTGCAGCTTATTGCAAGTATTATTATTTTTTTAAATCAGTGTGATATGTATATTTACCTAAGACAAAATGAATTAATACTGCTATTGGCTTCATTTCTTCCTTATTTTTTTCTACCCAGAATCCTTTGAATTAGCTCAGAAAGCAAAGAATCTATATGCCATATATACAGGGATAGTCCCTTTTTAACCTGCATTAAGTTGAAAGGACACATCATTTTTCAACATGGTCTTCTTCATCTTACTATTGTTCCAGTGATGATCCATCCCTTTTCCTCCTCCCTAATTTTTTTTCAACCCAATAAAGAGTAAAAGCTGCTGTCTTATAGGGAGTCTTAACTGAACACAGGAGTCGCTGTTGAGTAGTGCAAAGCATTTTTCCTCCCCAGGGGCTGAGTATTTGTAGTTATACCTGCAAAGACTTCTATAAATTAAAAGGAAAATGTTCAACTTGTGTTTATGTAATAGAAAACTGAACTCCAAATCAACAATAGGCATCAGGTAAACGTAGCCAATACAATTTACAGACATAATTGAAAGCATTACAGCCTAATCAGACATCTAAAAGAAAAGCATGCTCAAATGAAATGTCTACAGAATCATTAGCTGGCAGCCATTCTATTACAATCACACATAATGTCAGTGGTGCCGTGGGCCTGTACCAATGACAACAGCATAAATTTTGCATCTCATTTCTGTGGTAATAAAATTAATGATCAGTTTAAAAATACTTCTTTGTAAAAGTTATTGCGCAAAGAAAAGACATGAATGTGTCCCTGTTATGTACTCACAAGGATAATTATGGGGTTGTTGCTCATTGATACTGTTTCTTGTTTCCCTAGAAAACCATTTGATTTATCCTACAACTTTCAAAAGTTTAATTAACAATTCAAAGTTAACAGAATAAAAGACAATGATCCAAGACTTCCCTTCCTATAATTTCAATAGTAACAAACATCACAACAAACTTAAGGTTTAATCATACTACAGCAGCAGATTTTTCTGAAAAACATTTTAAAATTTATACTAGCTGGGTTCAAATTACTATTAGCCATTCTTTTTGATATGGTTCATTGTCAATTAACATTTTCTGAAATGCCTAGAAATGTAGCCCAGCAACAAATGAACAGTCATAATCTCTACAACCATTGGAGCTGATTTACTCAATTTGTTGCTTGTTTTTTCAAAACAGTCCTACTTTAAACACAATCAGGTAATCGTGAAATGAAGTAGTACATAGGTTGAACATCCTTAAATCAACAGAACTCCAAAACGTTCCAAAATCCAGAACTTTTTGATTGTCAACATGACAACACAAGTGGAAAATTCCATACCTAGAATCTTAGCTTTCTGATGGTACAAATTACAAGGTATATATGAAACATAAATAAATTTAGTGTCTACACTTAGGTCCTGTCCCCAAGATATCTCATTATATATGTGCAAATATCCCAAAATCCAAAATCTGAAACACTTCTGGTCCCAAAAATTTTGGATAAGGGATATTACTCAACATGTACCTAAAATCTGAATAACAACCATTCCTTCTTACTGAATGACAAATGGGGGGAAATTAGCAAAAATAAATTAATTTCTAATTCTCTACTTAGCTCACTTATCTAATTTTTTAAGTAATAATATATAGTTAATATACATAATTAAGCATTTAACTTGTCATTTCTTCAAGGAAGTTTAATTCTTAAGGCTTTGAAGGATATAGGTCACTAAAAAGAAGATTCTCTTCATAATTCTTCTACAATAGGAGGGCTAACTTACAGCATGCAAATACTAAAGACAACTTCTAGCAACAAACTGAAGCAGAGCTTTAAAATAAGAATATCACTTTTCAAGCACTGCCTATGAAATATACTTCTACTACTGTAGGTCCCATCATTTCAAACATGCTCAACATTGTTTGTAAAAGGCCAATGGTGGGGGTAGGTGGCAGAAGGAAAAAGCTGTGAATTATTTGCTAAGATTTCATTGTGGAGTTATCTTTCAATAGAAAACACACTATGTTAGGAAGGGTAAAAAAAGGAAATTAAACATCATCCAAACTTCAGAATTTTGGCTATTCTTCTTCCGCTATTCTTAGTTCATTAATAAACTTAAGAAATAGTATGAGTGAGAAGGCCAAAGGAAATTGCTTTCTAAGTAAATCTATGCATATTTTAAAATATCAATAAAATCTTAAGGCAAAATCTATTAAATACATTTTTTTATAATTAGAGCAAAAAGATTTTAAAAGAGAAAATGAGACTTTTAGCTGTAGCATCTG